AGTGTGATACTGAGGGTCCAGATACAGACACGTGCCTAACTATTTAACTCCATTAATAGACTCTACTAATTGCAATCAGAATGGCAGCTCCATGGCTGTAGTTAAGACTCTCCCAACAGTTTGATTGCACTCATATGTCTTGTTTTATTGCTTTTCTGAGTAAATAAGAAGAATCCCTTCTGAACACACCCTGAAGAATTTAACTGATGCTTACTATAGCCAGGGACCATACTTCATTTTTTATCTCCTTCCCCTTGTCCACGCTCCTTCCCTAGCATCCTCCTCCTTTGTGACGGCTGTATGGACCCTCTGCTCAGGATCTGCCTCAAAATTCACAGCCCCCAGGAGACCCAGCTTAATGAACCTGGCCCTGGAGGGAGACCTCTCTTCATACCCTTGCTGAATGTGTTCCCTGTGTTTGATAACTTCATTTTGTTCCTTTCGTGAGGGTTGCTTGCTAATTGATTTCTGGCATTTTTTTTTTGCATACGTGTTCACCTAATTTACCTCCTAAAGTCATAGACTCTCCATGAACAGAATACATGCTGAAGAAAGAAATTTCATAAAACCCAGTTCTTCTACTTTTTCTGGATATTTTTGAGGGAGAAAAAGGGTTATGTTTTGTAGGTTTGTTTTTTTTTTTGAGTGAGAGAGAGAGACCTAGGAGGAATTAGGCAGACAAGACATGATCAAAGTATAATGTATAAATAATTATCAAACAGCCCAATTAGAAAGTGAATCATAGAAGTGAAGAGACAGGGTCTCATGTGTAGCCAAGACTGGTCTCAAACCCCACATCCTAAGTTCTAGAATTATGAAAATGCACAACCATCCCAGCTGACTTGTTTCTGGGAGCTGTGTTTTTCTCGGGATTTGGGGACTGGTAAGGTGACCTGCAGAGGGAGGCCTTCAGCTGGAGCCTTGGAGACTGAGAATTCAGTATGTCGCCTGTTGATCTTCCTCTTCTGTCTCCAGGCCCACACAGGGAGCTATCCAGTGTGCTGACGTCAATATGTCTATAATGGGGCCTAAGTCATTATTTGTTTACAATTGTTGAATACTGTGAGAGTATATACTGATTGTCAATTGACTGGGTGTAAAGCCACAGTGGAGACAAACCTCAAGGCATGTCTTTGAGAAATTATCTTGCACAAGTAAACTGAAGTAGGAAGACATACCCCACCCTACCACTGCCATCACTACCACCATCAAATGTGGGCGGCGTCATTCCCTTGGCCCGTGTCTTGAATAGAAAGGAGGAAGCTAGCAGAGCACCAGAACCATAATTTTCTGCTTCCTGACTGGGGACATGATGAGGCTACCTGCTTCTCACTCCTGCCACCACGATTTCCCAGCCACAATGGACTGCCCCTCAAACTGTGAGCCCCAATAAACCCTTACCTCCTTAACCCACGTTTGTCAGGTGCTTTGTTGAAGCAACAAGACAAGTAACAAACCAGTGTATTCAAGTATTTGGGGATATGTGGGCTTCAAGACTGAGGAAAATATTGTCAAAAGTTCAATTTGTCATCATTCTTTCACTCAGTTTCACTCTGCTTACTGTGAAAAACTTACCTGGAATCGACTTTTACCCAAGAGGGCTATTCCAGGCTTTTCTATATGCTGTACTGCTTTAGGGGCCAAGGTGTATTTATTCCCGAAACTATTTCTTACTTACAATGTATGTGTATTTATTCATGCAGTCACTTATTCATCAACAATTTATAGACTAACTGGTAGGAAGAGATGGTTCAGTGGTTAAGAGCATGGGCTGCTCTTCTAGAGGACCTGGGCCCAATTCCCGGCACCCACACTGTGCTTCACAAATGGCTGTAGCTCTAGCCTTGAGGGATCTGATTCCCTCTTCTAGTCTCTGAGGCACCAGCACACATGTGATCTACAGATATACAGGCATGCAGAGCACCCATAAACAAAAACAAATAAATTAGGGTTTAAAAACACTGTAGAGTGGTGAGGGAGGTCCTTCTGTCTTGGTGTTGCTTTTATTGGTCAATGAATGAAGAACTGCTTTGAGCCTACGGCAGGGAAGAACAGAACTAGGCAGGGAAAGCTAAGCTGTTTGCTGGGAGAAAGAAGGGCGGAGTTAGAAAGAAGCCATAGATGCTGGGAACTTTACCCAGTAAACCACAGCCACATGGCAATATACAGATTAAGAGAAATGGGTTAAATTAATAAAAGAGTTAGCCAATAAGAAGCTAGAGCTAATGGGCCCAGCAGTGATTTAACGAATACAGTTTCCGTGTGGTTATTTTGGTTCTGGGCGGCCAGGATGAACAAGCAGCCTCCACCTACAGTAGAGTGTTGTTGTTTAAGCATGATAGATAGGCATGAAGAACATACAAGAGCTCACCAGGTGGACAAATTGGGGAAGTCCACTGTGTGCATTGGTCCTGAGGCGGTAAAGGAGGCCTGTTGGGAGGGAGGTACAGGTTCTGAGAGGAGGATATGGTTTGGAGTGGGGCTGGGTAGATAGGAAAGGTAACTTAGATATTATGTAAATAAAGGAGTTGAGACTTGGCAGTGAGGATCCACAAAGAAATGTGAGCAAGGATACTAGGCCAAATGTGTATGTTATGAGGAAATTTTAGCCACTGGATACCGTTGGACTGCAGAGAACAAAATGGAGGGAAGGAGAAAAACACAGAGGTGTCTGGGGAACTATGGGATGAGATGATGAATGGCCACTTTGGAATGTGAAGGAAGGATTCAGAAGTTGAATAGAGAGGACACGATGCTTGATTGATGTATTAGGTCTCTTTATTGTCTTAGCAAATTACCCTGAACTTCGTGGCTCAAAACAATGCGAATTTATTATCTCACGGTAGCCTGCAAATCTGATGTGATGCCAGGGGCTAAGACCATGCATTCAGCAGGGCAGTATTCTTTCCTAAGGCTTGGGAGAGAATTCGCTTTCTCACTCGCGCAGGTTACAGGCATAATTCAGTCCCACGCGTCTAGAACTGAAGGGCCCTTTTCTTTTCTGAGTAACAGCTTGGGCTTAGCCCCACCTTACAGGGGCTGCCTGCTTTCCTGATTCCACAGCCCACCCAATCCATGTACAAAGGCTGTGGGAATGAGCTGTGTTTATTTCACACCCTCTCTACCTCCTGTTTCACGTGCATGTGTTTATGTGTGTGAAGGTGTCTGTGTATGTGTGTGTGTGCATGAGTACATATGTGAGCGTGCAGCGAGAGGTCAGAGGTCAACCTCCTGTGCTTTAGTGCTGTCTGTGGCCATGGCTTTATCTTTTTAGGAGTTCTGTTTTAGGGTCAAACCTCAGGCACTGAGGCAGGCAAATTCCAGACTGTTGTTTTCCTCAGATTTATCTTCTTCTTACATTACATTGAAGTGCCTATAAATTTTACCCAAAGGAGAGAGCTGGTTGTTCTGCATAGCCTGCTAGCCACCCGCACTCGTACACCAGCAGGTCCCAGCACATAGGATGCACAAGGGAGAAGACAAGGGGTAACATTGTTTCTTCTTTTTGGAAACACCATAGAACAATTTGACTAGTACATCACTGGTCAGAATTTAGTCATGCAGCTGCACTCTGTACCAAGATGCCCAGGAAGCTGCAGTCTTTGTTATGGTAACGATGTCATAATAAAGACCGTGCCCTATGAAATGGGAGGAAAATCGATACAAGAGATGTATTGCAATCACGTTATCTGAAACATTTTTTTAAATCTCTAGCTGTTACAGCTTTCCATTCCTCTGTCCCTTGAAGTTGAGCAGCCGTCCGCTTTGGGAAGCAGTTAGTACTCAAGCAGAAACGGAGATTAGATACAGTGGGCTTAAAATGTACAGTCATGACGAGGGTGTGTGGAAATGTTATTTGGTTTACTGAACTCGATTTGCCCACCAGCCCTCATTTCCACTAATGGTGAGGAGTAAGGCCAGTTCACTTCTGGTCTGTGTGTGTGTGTGTACTTGCGTGTGCACGTGTCTGTGTCCAAGGCATACTCATGTAGACATCAAAGAAAGAAGAACCATGTCTGATGCTTTGCTCTATTGTCTTGCACGTTGTTTTCTGAGACAAGGTCTTTCACTGAACCTGAGGTCACCCTTTGAGCTAGGCTTACTGCTCAGTGAGCTTCCAGGATGTGCCTGGCTCCATCCCCTCCCTTCAAATGCTGGGGCTATAGGCATGCATAGTCATGCCTCCCTTCTCTGTGTGTTGCAAGGGATTCAAATGCAGGTCCTCTTGCTTGCATAGCAAGCTTCCTTGCTCACTGAGCCAGCCCCGCAGGCCCACTTCTGTTTTATAGATAAATCTCTTTGAGGAGCTTTTAGATAAATCCAAGTCTCCTTTGCTGCTTTCTCAGCAGGGGGCCGCTCACCTAAGAACTTTCCTGTTGGGCTCTGTTCTCTTGGACCGCCTGTGATCAGGCATGGAATATGTCTGCCTCCCTCTGGGAGCCTCTTAGAAGCCTGGGCACTGTTCTGATGCTTTCGGTTTCTCCTCTGCCTATTGCAGAGGTTGGCACATAGAAAACAGTTAAAATGTGACTGATAGAATCACGAGCCTGCTTTAGAAGCATCATATAATTAATTCAAATGGCACCATAATGATCTGAAAACCCTGCATAATTAAAAGTCTGTTTCTCTATGGCCCCCTGGCATTCTGCTTATAGCCTTCTTACAGCACCCATAATCCTCTGCTCTCAGATACAATGGTTTGTGTGTTTGTCTGGCTGCTTATTAGAGCGTCTGTCTGTTCTTGAAGAATGCCCCTGCTCTTTGTGCCTCTCACTAGTGCTGAGGTCAGGAGATAGTCCCCTTCAATCTAGGAAAATGAGTGACCTCAGGAGGAGGGGCTTTGAGTTTCTGCAGGTGAATGATTCCCACCTGGGAGAGAGCAGAGCCGTCCCCCCCCCCCCCTCAGCTGCTTAGAAGGGCGTCAATAAATCCCAAATGATACCTTGCCCTTTACGGAATCTTAGCTTATCCTAATGAAAACCATTGCTTTTGTTTTTCAGAAATCCTCCCCCCACTTTGCTGCACCCAGAAGAATGGTGTGAGGAATTTAACCACTTCATTTCACAGTAAGTAGTTCCTCCTCTGGGAGCTGCGTGCGCAGCAAGGTCTTGACCCACTGATTCCCAAAACCACGCTGTGGAATGTGCTCAGTCTAGCTGGGCCTGATGGCATGTTCTAGCCCAGGGTGGCTCTAGTAAATACCTTAAGGAGTTCCCACAGAATCTGAAGAGTATAAGGAATTCCCGCTGATTCAACTGTTGTCAGTCCCGATGATCACATGTATCTGCAAACCTATTCTGTAGAAGATGCACGCCTGTAACTGGAGTCTATTCTGGGAGTGGAGAGACACAGATCTTTACAGCTTTGGTGGGTGGGTCCTTGGGCTTTGTTCCAGAATTTTCGACCCAGGACTCAGCTTTCAGTTTCCAAGATGATGGGGAGCAAAGTAGGATCTTTGGCTTAAGGCATCAAGATGAGGTGTCCTAGTCAATACAGAAGGTCTGGAGAGCTAGAGGAAGACCGTGTAGAACAGTGTGAGGCCCCGATGGGAAGTATGCCCCCAGGCCAGACTTCCTGAGACTAAGACAATAGCACACAGAGAGACCAAAGACTGACTCAGTGCCAAGATCATGAGTTTGGGGCCTGGGCCTGGAAGAGGACCACATTGGTACCAAATGAGTGGAAGATGTTCATCTTCCCAAAGATGAAGTGAAGGCTCAGTAGTAATCGAGTGAGAACCCATCATTAGAAGCCACTAGCAGGGGTAGATCTGGGAAGAGATGCCTCAACACCTGGGATTCCAAACAAGAGCTTCAGAGACTATGGCAGGAGAAAGTAACCGGCCAAAGGTGCCGATAAATATGGGAAGAAGATGCAATGTTTTCTCGTTTATGCCTATGTGTGGTCTTATCTTCCACGAAGGTTCATGGTAACAAACCAGACAGGATCATCCTCCTTAATATTTGTATAGATTTACAGTCTTCACTCACAATCCCTGAATCCAAAGAGCCCTGGAAAGAGAAGCTATTCTGTAGTTGAGCCATCCAGCTGCAAACCGTGACCTTACGTGAACTGACGTGGGGGCGGCTTGTGTCCTGAACTGATGAGGGACTGTTTATAGTCACCGTCTTTCTTAGTGTGAATATTCGTGTGTTTCAGTGCAGATATACTCCTGTTTGATGAGTGTGCCCTATCCCAGATCCTTCTGCCTTGTTACATAATGCGCAGTGAACGAGCCAGCTTTGCTGTCTAAAATTTGGTCAGATTTAGAATGCTAAACATATTTGACCCCAAGGGAGTTTGTATGAGAACTTGAGTTTGTATTTCATTTCCATTTCAAATGCAACAGAGCTTGGGGTCCTGAAAATTGTTTGTTCATCTAATCCCTCCTGGACCTGCGCCATATCCCTCTGAACAGTAGAATGGGGGTGGGGACCTCAGAGAACACTACCAAGAGATAGGTTGTTGGAAGGTGACTGAGAGGGAAAACTCAGAGAGGTAGTGTTGGAGGGTGAGGTACAGGGCCAAGGCTGGGGGGCATACCCTTGCTCCTCATCCCAGCTTCATCATTTTTGCCCTAACTACAGAATGTATGGGGCTGGCCACAAGTCAGAGTGACTGACTACCAACACTTGCTAGGTGGGAGGTGAGAAAGGACCACTTCCTGAAAGCTGGTAACCCCAGGAGGTGATGGAGGGAACTGAAGAGCCAAAGACACTCTAGTGGCTTGTGACCACATTTTGGAACACCACACACAGAGAGAAAATTCTCTCTGGATCCAAGGAATTTCCCTTTCACTCCATTGCTGCACAGATAACCTTGATCAACCTTCTCTGAAGTTGGCCTAGAAAACTCCATTAGGTATTCACAGATACACCTTCCCATCCCATCGTGCTGCAAAGATGTGAGTGGACTCACAAGTTCTGCTTAAGTGTGTTTTTCTCAAGAGTATGGTAGTATTCTTAAATCAACACAGTGCTGCTTCTGTGGATTTAAGGACAAGGTAGACAACCGATGGCAAATAAAAACTTTTAGGGTCACACTTGCTAGAAAATCACAGAAAGCAATGTCTTTGAGAATACATGTTGTCTGGAGTGTTAGAGTGGAGAAATCAAAGCGAGCACAAATAAGCAAGCAAGCGAGCAAGCGTGAATCCATTTTCTCTCTGCTCTGGGTTGTAGATAGGACGTGACGACCTGACTCAAGCTCCTGCTGCCCTGAATGTCCCACAATGATGGACAATCTCGGGAATTGTTAGCTAAAATTGAAATTACCTGGCGTGAGCGAGAAGGAAACACGGAACACGCAACAAACCCATTTAGGAGTTTATTAGAGGGTGTGTGTAAAGGCCTGGGGAAGTCAGTGTGCGCAGAGAGAGAGAGAAAGAAAGAGAGGAGAGAGAGAGAGAGAGAGAGAGAGAGAGAGAGAGAGAGAGAGAGAGAGAGAGAGAGAGAGAGCGGCGAGCTGGCGCGACCAGCTTTTAAAAACTGCATAGCACATGCACACAGGGGGTTGACGTAACTACGTCATATGCAAATGATGGGGAGGGCTCACGCATGTGCGTGCACAAGGGCTTAGCTGAGTCATTTGTGGATGATGCAACCGCATGTGGGTCACGAGGAGCCCTTTAACATCCCGAGGCCCTTAGACACTTCTGCCTGAGGGCTTGTCTGCACATGCATGGCCTAGAACCGGAAAGGGTCAGCCTTCTTGTGGCTGAAATCATAACAAAAATAAGCCTTTTATCCCCTATATTGCTTAGCAGCAATATAACAGCTAGAAACCTGTCTGCTATATCCAAATCCTGCACCCCCCCAAAGGATTTCGCCTAACTCAGGCTGCCCTCAGACTTGATAGCTAGAGTTGGCCTTGAATTTCTGATCCTTCTGCCTCTACTTACTGAGTGCTGGAATTACTGGCATTGACTACCATGCCCCATTTATGTAAGTACTCTTGTTAGGCAAGTACTCTTCTGACTGTGCTACGTCCGTAGTTCCGCCCTTCGATTTTCTAGATGGGAATGACTGCTCTAGCCTGCCATTACTCAGCTCCCAAATATACTACGACCAAATGTGATCTCATTAGACTTATTCAAATCTGCAGTTAACTGTAAACAATGACACACTTTGCATCCGAAATGTCTATTTAGAGAGCTTTGGTTTGCTTTTATACTTAATGTCTCATACTGAGAAAAATGAGAGGGGAATTAACACCTTCCAACCATAAAGGGTTTCATCATTGGAGGTACTAGTTGGGAAAGACACTAAGAGTTGTAGTGAAATTGTTTTAAAGCAGAATCATTCAGAAACTAGATTCAGTTCCCTTTATAGAACAAGCTACAAGTTTATTCTATGAAAGTAAACTGCCTAGATTTTCTCTAAAAATAAGCAAGACTAGAAATATCTTCTTTAAAAATGTTGTGGTTTTTATTATGTTTGTACACTTTGTGCACATGAGTGCAGGTGCCATTGGAGGCCAGAAGGGGGCATCAGATCCTCTGGAGCTGGAGCAACAGGGAGTTGTCAGCTGCCAGATGTGGGTGCTGGGTCTGCAAGAGCTTTGTGCATTTTTATCCTGACTAGAAATACCTTTTGTTGTTGTTGTTGTGTTGTTGTTGCTGTTGTTTTCTGAGATAAGGTTTCTTTGTGTAGCCTTGGCTGTCCTTGACCTCACTCTGTGCAGACTAGGCTAGCCTTGAACTCAGATCTGTCTGCCTCTGCCTCCTGAGTGCTGGGATTAAGGGCATGCACCACCACTGCTTGACTTAACTTTCTTCTCTCTCTCTCTCTCTCTCTCTCTCTCTCTCTCTCTCTCTCTCTCTCTCTCTCTCTCTCTCTCTTTCTCTCAGAGATTTGTTTATTGCATATTTTATGTATATGGATATTTGTCTTCATATCAGAAGAGGGTATCTGATTCCATAGAACTACAGTTATGAGCCACCATACAGGTCCTTGGAAATGAACTCAGGATTTATGGGAAAGCAGCCAGTGCTCTTAACTTATGAGCCACAGCTTTAACACCTATTGATTCCCTATTGCCATGTGACCTCTGAACCAAAGTGGGTTCATCACTGAGGATCTTAATGTGTTAGTTACTTTTCTCATTGCTGTAATAAATAATGGGTTTTCTGTATCTCTATGACGGGTTTCTCCATCCACTCAGTAAGCCAGGTCAAGGCAAATTAAAAAAGCAAAAGAACAGGTATATTTGAGCAAAACAACTCCTGGGTGAGTCCTCCAGTCCCAGAGCTTGGACAAAGAAGTCACACAGTCAAACTAAAGCAGGGAGCTTGTATGGCCTGTCGGTGAGGAGTGATGATGTGCCCACCACATGCTGGGTTTGTGACCACATATGGTGAAAAGCTGACTGCTTTAGGTGGGATCTTGGACTACTGGCCACCTCAGGAGAGGAGCTGCTGCAGCTGCCAAGAAAGCAGAACTGGGCTTTTGTGTGCCTTTTCTTTTGTTGGAGATTATCTGAGAAGGTGGGATTTGGAGAGGAAGAGGAGAGGAATGGGGCTTTCTGGACCTAGCAGGAATGAACTGGAGGTTCCAGCCAAACAATAAAATACCTGCTAGAATCAACTTAAAGGAAGAAGAGTTGGGCTCATGGTTGGGGAGGGTGTATCTAGGGTGTCTATTCCATCATGGAGCAAACACCGGGCAGAGGGCTCCATGTGGTGGGGGCTTGCAGCAGTTTCTCAACACAAGAAACAGAGAATGTTCAGCCAAGGCGGAACTGACTAAAGCCCCTGAGGTCCACACACCCATGGCCCAGTTCCTCCAGCCAGGCCCCACCTTCAAAATGCTCCACAATTTCCCACAAAATGCCATTGGCTGCAGACAAAGCATTCAAAACACAGGAAACCGTGGGACGCACTTTATATGTAAACCATGAGCATCTTTGGTACTGGATGACACACCACTGATCGTCACAGTATCCGGCTGCTTCCTAGAGCGGAGTAGATGGTGCGGAAATGCTGAGATGCGGGTTAGTGTCTTTCAGGTTTGTTTCCAGCCTCCTTTGGAGACAGCAGAGAGGAAAAAGAAAAAAAAAATTTAAGGAC